TCTGAAGAGATGGATTAAGAATGCTTTGGATTAAGGATTGTGGAGCACATTTCAATCATTTTAGGATTGTCAAAAGGAGGATTGAGGAGGATCAGATCAATAATGGAGGCAATGGTATGACTCCAAGTGCTATTGTCACAGATGAAATTGGCAGTATTGACCTTACTAAAAGGCAAGGGTTGAAAGTGAAAAATATATATCTACCTTAAAACACTTGCAAACATCTTTTGCAGTTATCATCAAGCTACAATTGCTTTGCTCTTTAAACCTTTGCAATTGTGGCAAAATAACATTGCCCATTTTGTAACTATTTTGCTCCCTTCCCCCTTTTTTGTTTTAATAGGGACTAATGTGGGAAGAACTGGCTAATTTGTCACAGTGCTTAGTTACAACTGTTAGTGTGTGACCTGCTGTTGGTGTACATGTGGGTACAGGGTGTCTTTAATTCCAGTGAGATAGAGTATAATATCAATACTGCTAAATCTGCATGTCCTCTGTGTGACTGATAAAAGAGCATTGCTATTTCATTTTTTTAAGACAAAATGAAAGCAAAATATAGAATGCCAATGTATTGGTGTAGATAATCTAGTTGGGAGTACTTTTTTAAGTCTCACCTTCCCCTTTAAACTAATACTCATAATTGACTCACGTTTAAGACACTTTAATTTACAAATTAAATTGCAGATGGGAACATTAGATTTAGTTTAGACTTAGGTGGGTAACTATCAATAAACTTTTCAACTACATAACTGTAACCACAAAACCTGTAATACGCTGTACAGTAACAAGTGTTGGCATTATCAGTTGAACTGTAAATATAAAATGCTTCTTCCAGTTAGTCTCTATGATGATTTAAGTTTCTAAAATTTATCTGAACACCATTCAGAAACTTGTTTTGGGAAATTTGATAGTTATTGATGTACATCTGTTAAATTGATGACAGACATAACTCATCATTCCTCAGAAACCTTTTTTGATTATAGTATCTAACATTTTGCCTCCTCTTTTTTGGTTTTGCTGGTTATAAAGGTTTGGATTGGAGAGGGCTCACTGGATTCCAATTCTTGGAGCTGGATCACTGGATTCAAATCATAATGTGGCTAGGATAGGGAGGATGAATTACAAGGATTCATGGAGCGGGATCAGATTACCAGGAACATAGGAGTGGATTCCTGCCCCAACCAAACCGCACTCATGTGGATTTTTTTATTCAACTTAATTGGCTACTCCAAAGATTTTTTTTCCTGTTTTTGATGATTGGAGCCCTTAAGATGCACAATGGAATTGTGTTTTGCATTTTTTTTGGTAAAAGGAGCAAAGTGAGGACCTGGAGATATACGCTGGAGCAATCTCCTTGGAAGGATTCAGCACGAGTAGATAGTAAATATTTAAAGGGGTAAGGGGGGATTTGTTTAAAATAGTAATCAGTAAGTCACTTCTAAATTTAGAGTAATCAACTAATTACAAATGCCAGTGAGACTGTGGGGAGAAAAGAACCCTTCTCCACTCTTGGTGGGAATGCAAATTGGTAAAATTACTGTGGAAATGAGTGTGGAGATTCCTTAAAAACCCAAAACTAGGATGGACCAGGGATTCAGCTCAGTGGTGCCGCCGCCTGCCTCCAAAGCCCAAGGTCCTGAGTTCAATCCCTGGTACAAAAAAACCCCCTAAAACTAGGGCTGGGGATTTAGCTCAGTGGCACAGTGCCTGCCTCATAAGTGCAAGGTCCTGAGTTCAATCCCCAGTACCAAAAAAACAAAAAACAAACCTAAAACTAGAGGTTCCATTTAATCCAGCTATTCCCCTTCTTGGTATCTTTATGAAAGAGTTAAAAGCATCATACCACAGGGATATATTTACACTCATGTTTATAGCAGCACAATCTGTAATAGCCAAATCTTGGGAACAGCCCAGATGCCTGTCAGTGGATGAATGGATAAAAAAAATGTGGTTTATATATATAATGGAGCACTGCTCTGCCATAAAGAAGGATGAACTGTAGCAGACACCTCTGCCCAGTATCAGCAGGCTATCATAGCACAAGCTTCTTGCCCCTCCATAATTCGGCTGTGTCACATTGGAAGTAGCAGAGCTTGGCTGAGTTCACTCCCAGTCAAGGTCAACTTGGCTCCAGCTAAATTCCACCCTTCTGAATTGTTTGTTCTCTTCAGCTAAAATATGCTTGTGCCCTCATTTAACAGCTCTGCCTGCTTGATACTTGTTATCAGCAGGTGTCCCAAGGCCTGCCCAGCTCCCTCCTTCCCACACTTGGAATGAATAAACACTGGATGTCCTGGGAGGCCTTTGTCTTTGCTGCCCAGGGCAGCTTAGATCAGCCCAAGACTCAGTTTCTCTCAAGTTCCTGTCTCTGTGTTTCTTTTAATTCCCACTTTCCTATCTCACAGATGTCATACTGGCTTGCAGGAGGCCAGGACCACTGCAGGGGTCTCTGGCAACTCCCATTACCCTTTCCCTTTAATAAATTTAAGACATTTTTAGGTAAATGGATGTACCTTGAAACCATACTTTTAAGTGAAATAAATCAGACACATATGTTGAAATATAGCATTGTTTCTCTTGTGTGAAAAACCAAAAGTGTAAATAAGGACCAAAATAGTTGATAGATATCAGGAGGTAGGAAGAAAATATTCAAATGAGGAGGGGAGGAGGGGGAGGAGGAGGAATGGAAGGAAGGGAAAAGGGAAAAAAAGAATGGAAAGGAAAAAATGGAAACAAAGCTTTTGTAAATCAGGAAGGAAGGAGGGACTGGAGGGTGGGGAGGGAAATGGAGCCAAAAAAGAATTAAAATATGCTATCTATAGGTATGAATTTCCTATGATGAATCTGATTAATATGTATGACAAATATGTACTAATAAAAAATAAAGTTAATGTGATGGTTGATTGTGTCAATTTGAGTAAATAATGCTCAACTAGATTACTCAGCATCATTCTGGGTGTGGAAGACCCACCCTAGGGAGAATTATCACTAGAATGCTATAAAGAGAAATGAAGAAGGATTGCTTCTGTTTCCTTCCAAGGAGCTCCAATCTTTGCTTTCACCCATCAGCCTTCCAGCACAGACTCTCCAGCCTTCAAATGCAGAGCCTCCAGGCCTCCAACTGGATCCTTCGGATCCCCAGGGCACAGACTGACCTTTGCACGCTTCCACACCCAACTCTATGGCCGACCATCATAAGCCAACCTGTAAATTCTTTTTTTTTTTTTTTTTTGTACCAGGGATCGAACTCAGGACCTTGCACTTGCAAGGCAGGCGTGGTGCCACGGAGCTAAATCCCTGACCCTTGCCAAACTAAATTTTTATGTATTTGTGTATCTCATATTATATGTGTCTCTAGTAAACACTGACTGATACAGTTTTAAAAATACACTACCCTTAATTTGACGGTCTCTGAAGTCAGTCCATGACATTATTCCCATTTTTTCTCTGTGGCCTAATCTTTCACTATAAAGTAATTTTTCCAGACTATTTTAACAAATTGTCACCTGTCTCTGGGACTATCAGTCTTTTACATGACTAAGACAACCTGTAGCTTTCCTTCCTTAGGAAATCCTTGGATTCACTGTACACAATCGTGTTTGTATAGTACAAAATGTAGTTCCAAATTACCTGAAGCATAATCATCTGAGATCAAGCTGGGCATGGTAGTCCATGCCTGTAACCCCAGCACTCGGGATGCTGAAACAGGAGGATCACAAGTTTGAGGCCAGCCTAGGCTATATAATGAGTTCAAAGCCACCTTTAACTACACACCCAGACCCTGTCTAAAGAACAACCAAAACAAAAATGAACCACCTGGGATCAAAGATACTACCAGAATCATAGTGTCTAATCAAAGAGGAAAGATGCCACCAGGCATGGAGGTGTGCACCTGTAATCTCAGCTATTCAGGAGGATGAGGCAGGAGCAGCTCAAGTTTAAGGCTAGCCTGGGCAACTCAGCAAAACCCTTCCTCAAAAAATATTTTTTGGGGGTACCAGAAATTGAACTCAGGACCTTGCACTTGCCAGGCAGGTGCAGCGTCACTGGGCTACATCGCCTGCACCTGCCTCAAAATTTTAAAAGGAAAACAAAAACCAAAAAAACCAGGCTGGGGATGTAGCTCAACACTCTCTGAATTCAATCCTCAGTACCATTTAAAAGAAAAGAAAAAAAGAGGAATGGGGCCACCCGTGGCTGGTAGTCTTATGGGAATGAGCCTGTAGATGAGTTGATGGTGCTTTCCTGCAAAGATTTTTAGGTTTTAGCCTGTGGCGGCCAGACTGCACCATTGGCTGGGCTCTTCAGTGGACCTCTTTCGGGAACTGCAGCAGCTTCAAGGTAAAGCATGGATGAGGTTCCAGGACCCCACACGTATACCTGGATTGGCCACAGGGACAAAAACAGTCGCTCATTGGAACCGAACTTACCCTCAAGCCATAAGGATTCTTCTGGAACTGTGAACTCAGGACTGAGATGATCAGCCAGACCCCAGCCTATCACAGCAACCCATACAACTGGTCTCCCCGTGTTTGTTGGCAGGCCAGTCTGATACTCTCTTCTTCAGACCCGTGCCCCTTTCCCCTCCTGTTCCTCAAACTGAAGCCCCGTCTGTTTCCTCTTGCTCTCCAGTGAAAGCTTTCTGCCTGCACACTCGTACCTTAGTTTTACATTATCCCTGAGACAAGGATCCATGCTAGCTGGTAATGCTTGGCTCCTGGCTGCCTCGGGAGGAACCCAGGTAAACGCTCCCACCCTCTCCCCAGTGTCTCTAAGTGGAGTCTCTCCCCGTCCCTTTCTCCTTTGTTTCCACCTTCTCTTCCTCTGTCTCAGGTTGTTTCCCTCTCTAGGAGATCCCGAGAGTCAGAAGATCCATCACAGGAGGCGGGCTATGACGCTAGACCTGGTCAGCTGAAAGTGGTTCAACAGACTCTGGCGGCGTCCCCTCCTCTCGCCGGCAGGGGGCGCACTGGGCCTGAGCAGCCGTCATCTCCCGGACCACCGTGTCCCAGCATGCTCTGCGCCCCGTCGCTGGGTTTGGGACCCCCGCGGATAGTCTTGGGGTGCGGGCGGCTGAGTGTGGGAGATTCTCGGGGGGGCGCCAGGGACGGTTGGCCGCTCGTAGGCTGCGGAGACCGCGAAGGCCATGGCCGCGCCGGCTCAGGTAAGCGGCTCCCGTGGGGGCTCGGGGCGCGCTCGGCCTGGTGCGCGGGTCCGCGCAGGAGGGCGACACGCGTGGCGTCAGACCCCGGGGGAGCCGGTGTCCAGACCCGAAAACAAAGCCGAGCGTGGACCGCGGCCCAGGCGGCGAGGGGCGCCGGAGAGGATCACCCAACCCACGTTTAGCGGAATCCAGAGCCCAGGTTTAAAGGATTTAAAATTCCAGGAGCTTGGGGTGATGTTTGTGAGTGCTTAAATGTCAGTATTTAGCCGCTAGCGTGATCGCGTTTGCAATGAGGGTAGGAAAGAAGGGTTGTTCCGAGGGTAAAGGGCAATAAAATCCATACAGATTGTATATTGTTTAGTGTTTTATTGAAATCAAGGTCATGGCATGTTTTTCTAACCTTTCTACTGAGTATTCTTGCTGGTTGTTAAATGAATTAAGATCATTAACTTAAAAATACCCTATTCAATCTAAAACACGGGATACATTCCACCACACCCTCTACATGCCCGAAATGTGGAGGGGTGCTGAACTCCATAATGCGTTTGCCTTTTTTTCTTTCTTTTTTTTTTTTTTAAGACAGGGTCTCAGTATATAGTCCATACAGCAGTTTTGTGCATGTAGTGAAATGAGATAGAAAATTGTGATATCAGATGTGTTTAGATAGGGCTCATAACACCAGGAAATCTGCAGTTGCTGGTAGATGTCTAAAGGGTGTGTCTGAACATTTTGGGTGTCCTACGAAGCTCAGTTTTTTATTTCTCACCCTTTCCACTATTGACATTTTGTACCAGAAGGTTTTCCCTATGGGGACTGTCCGAGCCTTGGCAGATACCGCTAGATGACACTAGCACACCCCCTTCCTCAGTTCCACCAATCAGAAATGTCACCAGACTTTGCCTAAAGTGCTCTGGGAGACAAAATTGCCCTGATTGAGAACCAGTGACCTAATGTTTCTCACGGACAAAACTACACATAAACAAATTCCCAATATATCCCTAATATGTTATAGCAGAGATGACTATTTCACAAAATTAAAATAATGAATTTTCAATTTAAATATAAAGAAATTATAATTTTAAAAACTTAATTCTAAACTTCATACCAAATGTAACAAAAAGATGAACATAAATTAAAAATAAAAGTCGAAACAAAAGGTGCTTTAATAGCCACAGAAAAGAACATATTGAAGTTAAACTGAGTTTAAAGAAAACAAGTCAATGAGATGTGGAATGAGTAGTTATGTAGTGGTAGTATTTTATTTTATTTATTTTTTGGTGCCGGGGATTGAACTCGGGACCTCGGGCTTTCGAGGCAGGCGCTGGAACCACTGAGCTAAATCCCTGGCCCATAGTGGTAGTATTTTAAATTAACAAATATGTAATTTACATAATTCTAGTTAATGAGCCTTAGCAAGTATTAATTTTTCAAGTCAACCATAATAAACATAATTATTAAATTGAGTAGGGATTGTAGCTCACTGGTAGAACCCTTGCCTAGCACATGCAAGGCCCTGGATTTACAACAAAAAGTAAAACTGAAGATGTTTGTCTCCTTTTTAGACTTTATGCTACAAAGTAGAGTACTAATACATAAAGAAGTACATCTCAGTGATGCTTGTAGTTTAGAAAGGGAGTTGTAGTAAACAATGAGTATGTTCATTTAGAAGGAGATATACATTCATGCACTATAATGCAGTTTATCCAAAAATGAGCTTGCCTCTTTCTACTGACCTGGAAAATGGCCATACCATATTAAGTGAATGAAGTTACATAGTGATTTGTTCCCCCCTCCTTTTTTTTTTAAAGAAAGTTCCATTCCATGCCTAGGGATATATAGCTTGGAGAGGTGCAAAGAAATGTGGAGTGGATTTAACTCAGTGGTTCCACCGCTTGCCTCACAAGCACAAGGACTGGAGTTCGATCCCTGGTACCAAAATAAATAACTAAATAATAAAATTTAAAAAAAAAAGAAATGTGGAGTGGGTTCTAGTGGCTAACAGCAGAACCCCATGACAGGACTAGGACAAGAAGTAGTTCCCAAGGAAGAGGCTGCTGAACAGACTAAACAGTTGACCACCACACAAGCCTTTTAAATGAATGAGGAGCTGGAGTCATTTTGAAGCAGTCACAACTATGTCTGTGATTTCAGTTACCTCTGACTTTTGAAGATGTTGCCATTTATTTCTCGGAGCAAGAATGGCAGGACCTAGAGATGTGGCAGAAAGAGCTTTACAAGGGTGTCATGAGGACCAATTATGAGACGCTTGTCTTTCTAGGTAAGTAATATCCATTCAGCTGTGGGGATAAGTATGGAAGCGGCTCCCATGAGAGGTGTCACTTGCTAGTGCTCTTGTTTGTCAGACTGAAGATTCCTCAGAAATTATCTCCGAAAGGTTTCCTACCCCCATTCTTTTGTTAGTACTTCTGTACACACTACCAGTCCTCACTCCAAGGTGAACACTGTTACTTAGGAATATTTGATACAACATGTAATGTCAGGTGGTCAGAGGTGACTGAGTACAGTCCAAGATTTCCATCAGAGCTTACTCTCAGGTTGCCATGGTTTTCCACCTGGGAGCACACCTGGCTCTTACCATAAAGTGTCTGTGTGTCTGTCTCTCTCATTTGTTTGTTTGTTTGTGTGATACTGGAGATTGAACTCAGGGTCCTGTGCATGCTAGGCAAGTGCTGTAATACTGAGCTACATCTCCAGCTCAAATACCTCTACGTATATCTTTCACCTATGAATGGCCTTCCACATAGCTTTCCAGTGGGTTAAAGACTTCAAGAAGCCAAAGGTCAGGCCAGGGATGTAGCTCAGTGGTAGAGCATTTGCCTAGCATGCATGAGGCCCTGGGTTCAGTCACTGGTAACCACTCATATCCCCTCACCCCAATAAAAGTAGCTAATGTTCTTCCCTGAAGTGAGATTTTGGAAGGATTCACATAGATATTTAAGAGTAGCTGACTCTATGATAATAAATTTAAGTTTTTTATTGGTTTTTTTTTTTTTGGTCATGCTGGGGCTGGAACCCAGAGCCTTGCACAGGCTGGGCAAGTGCTGTATAACTGAGGTACATCCCAGCCCTCTTGTATTTCTTCTAATTTATGAAATAAAGTTTTAAAAACTCAGTCTGTTCAGAGAAGCATCAGATGAAGGATGAATGACAGTGGGCCTTGCTTCATTCTTATCTCACACTTAGTCAACTCCCAGAGGCAGCTATTTTTGTTTTAGTTCGTAAAGTGGTTTCCTCCAGTCTAAATATCATGGTAACACTTGTTTCTTGGTTCATTGAGTTTAGCTAGCATTAATTACTATGAAAAATGAGAAATTAGCCAACTTATACTATCCCTCTTCCATCTTTTTTCACTATCTCTCCAGTTTTGGATAATTTCTTATGCTTCTACTGGTTTTGTAATTTAAAATAATGTATATAAACTTGTAGCTCATGTTCCATCAACTTTACATTGCTCAGCTCTGCCTGTGTACAAAGATAAGGTGATGAGTTTTCTTGTACTCCTTTGTTCTTGATAGCTATACCACCTCCTTTATACTGTAATTGCAAGGTTTATAAAACTTATATTCTCTGTTTTGTTGCCAGAGTAAGTTTTCCAGACCCTACCTATGGATTCTTTTCTAAGACATTACATTGTTTTCACTGTTACCAAAGAATCCATTAAAGTAAGTAAATTTATACAGAAAAACAATAATTCTACATCCTTAACCCTGTCCTTAAAAACAATAATTCTGTGTTCTCCCAGAATGTCCCAAGCATTGAGATTGAGTGGATTCCCCCTTTTATTACTCAGCAGTTGTTCAAAATCATGCAGCATTTTAATTTTCTCACTTTTGGGCCATTACTTTTTAGATTTGGATTTTTAATTACTTCCCTTACACCTGCTCTCATCTATATCCTCTGATTATCCATCCTCTTACTCATAGTCAGTTACATGGATGGACTTTCCACCTTCTGTCAGTTCTCCTCAAATCAATCTATCTGTCCAAAAAAACTCCAACCAAAATCCCTGTAGGACTTTTCATGGCCTGTACACTGACCCTAAAGAACATGGAGGAACAGAGGATCAGGAACCATCAAGAACCCCCTGGGAACCAGAGGGAAGGTGACTGTCCTGTCAGCTACCATGACTTCCGGTGTTAGAGATGGGACGATGGCTGCTGGTTGTTGGGATGTGAAGCAGATGCACTTGTGAGAACACAGCTGACTGGATATGTGGTGACGGAGACGTGCTCACACTGGAGTGCAGCCATGCCTGAGTGGCGTGCCAGTGAGCAGGAGAAGGAACAGAGGGATTGGGACCGGCTCGTCCTTTCCCACAGCATCCAGTGAATGAGCTTTGTTTCAAAATGGAGACATCTCAGACACATAATTTAAGTTACAGAATGACATGGTATGATTTATATAAAATTCAAAACCAAGAATAAAATATTTATGTGTATGTATTTAGAAAATGAAAACGTGCTGGGGATTTACCTCAGTGGCACCGCACCTGCCTTGCAAGGTCCTGAGTTCGATCCCCGGTACCAAAAACTAAATAAATAAAAAATAAAAACATTGGGCTGCTGCTGTGCCTTACTGGTAGAGTATGCACAAGGTCCTGAATTCAATCTCCAGCACTACAAAAAGAAATAACATGCATGGGAATGATAAACAATAAATTCAAGGTAGTGCTTACTCTGGAGAGATAGACACCACATTTAGGGGTTTGAATTGGGCAGTGTCTTTTGTCCTTAAAAAACCTGAAGCAAGTTTGTCAACATAGTAAGATTTGACAATTACATGGCACCAGGGTTTTTGTATATTGTTCTTCTTTTCTTTGTATTAGAGGGGCAGGGATTTAGCTCAGTGGTTTCGCCGCCTGCTGTGCAAGCGCAAGGACCCGAGTTCGATCCCTGGTACCCCCCCAAAAAAACCCAAACTGGCCTGTCTTTGCATTAGAAATATTTGTAATAAAAATTCTTTTTAAAAATCCTTTTAACATAATTTTGCCTGAGCTAACTTCCTTTAAAATGTACCCCTGCCAGGCATGGTGGTGTCCACCTCTAATCCCAGCACTTGGGAGGCTGAGGCAGGAGGGTTATGGCAATTTGAAGCCAGCCTGAACTAAATTAAATAAGACCTTGTCTCAAAAAACCAAAAGAAGCAGCACTGGGGAGGCTGAGGTAGGAGGATTGCCATGAGTTCAAGGCCACCCTGGAACTACACAGTGAGACCTTGTCTCAAAAAAAAACTTTTTTAAAAATCCAAATAAATAAAAGTATGCCCCAAAGATGTGGCTTAAATGAATATTAAGAATATTGAAAGCAGGGCCAGGGATTTAGCTCAGTGCTTCTGCTGCCTGCTTCGCAAGTACAAGGTCCTGAGTTCGATCCCTGGTACCAAAAAAAAAAAAAAAAGTATTGAAAGCCAGGCATGGTGACACACACCTGTAATCCCAGGATTTAGGAGACTGAGGCAAGAGTATTGCCTTGAGTTCAAGGCCAGCCTGAAGGACATAATGAGACTCTATCTAAAAAAAAATTTAAAAACCCAAAATAAGTATTAAAGCCTTTGCTGTTTTGCTTGTGGATGAAATACAGCATTGCTAGATGCATGAGGACTGCAACAATACAGCACATCCAGCCTAACAGACCCGGATAGACTAGCAAGCACTTTTAGATGGCTGGGCAGTTTTGCTCCCCTTTGCATAAACCTATCACCTATGTATTGACATACATTGTCCTAGAAATGGGTTTTGGAAAACTCAGAAGCAACTTTAAATATGGTGCCCAAGGAAGCCAAACTATCCTGTCTGACTTCTCTGCCCAGATGGTGCACTTTCCAAACCGGAACTAATTTCCTGGATTGAACAGGGAAGAGAGCCCTTCAGGAGCTGGGGAGAATCACAACCACCAGGAAATATGGCTCTCCCCTCTGCTGACCTGCATTTTGATCCAGTGATTGGGGGTGAGTATTAAGAAATGGGGGGTCTGATATTAAGACATCAGATTTCTAATTTCCCTTCTCTGGTCTTGACTTCCTGTTTGGCAGAGCTGAGGCTTCATGTCTCAGATTCTAGACAGAGGCAGTAGCATAGCGAATAGGAGTGTGGGTTCTGCAGTGTGAGTCTGCATCCTGCCTTTTCTGGGTGACACTGGGCTGGTTACTGATCCTGTTAGTATTTCAATTCCTGGAGTACAGAAGGAAGATGAGGAAAGTGCCTACACTACAGGATTAAACTGGCTTACCATGTGCAGTGTTAAAGTGGATCCACGCCCACAGTAAACTCAGTGATGGAAGCTGTTCTTGGTAGTAGATAGGAAAGAACAAAAGCAGAGACAGATTGGCTGTCTTTGTGACTAAAGTGGCTTCCATCCTACCAGGAGTCAATCATCTATGTGAATATTCAAACTTTAGCTCATCTTCCATTTCTTGTCATGATGGGAGAATCTGACACTTTGGGGTTTTTGAAACAGTATTAAATTACTAAATGAAAAAAATGAAATATGAGTATTATCCTAAGAAATCTTGTCTGTTTATAGCTGCTGCTTTTAGAGTAAAGGATGTTTTTTGGTTCTTGCTAATTTTTTTTTTTTTGGCTCTTTTCAGTTTATTGCATGTAGGAGTTACACTAGTCCAAGGGAAAGTGGACCCCAAATGGTTACATTATACAAGCCATGAGGTTTTTAAACTCATGACAAGGGACAGAAGGGATATTCTACTCATTGCAAGGAAATCCTCACTTAAGCTTCAATGAGCCACAGGCACTTAAAACCCACGAACCTCCAGCTGATCGTCCTTAGCCAGTCTAGTCTCTACCAGGAACTGGCGTATGTTCTTGCGTTGGTCACCCTGGAGCCGGATTACTTCTCCATATTCTGGATGCTCGATTATAGTACCATTGCAGGCAAATTTCTTCTTAAACGCCTTCACCAGTTTCTTTTTATCGTAGTCATCAGCGATCCCTTGGGCAGTGGTACGGGTCTTCCTGCCGTTTCTCTGCTGGATTCTTATATGGATATAATCCTCAGTGCCGGCAGGAAGCAGGTCATCACCCTTACTTGCATCAGCAAAGGGGTCGAAAGAGTGGAAGTTCTGGATAGCGGACATACGATAGGATTCCTTTTCCTCGGTGGAAATGGTCTGCGGAAGGCGGCTGCGGGAGAAGGCGGGCGGGGGGACGGATCGCTGGGAAGCGGGGGACTCAAGGAGGAGGCCGCTGAGTCCTCGGCGTCAGCTCAGTGACTCTGGTTCTTGCTATTTTTAAAAAAGAAATTATTCACTTTTTTTCATTTATTAATTTTTCCAAGAAGTTTTGTTAAAACATTGGTTGAGGCTGGGAGTGTGGCTCAATGGTCAAGCACATAACCTTGGGTTGTAACCAGAATTTTTAAAAAATTGGTAATGATAAGGGCAGGGAGGGCTAGAGCCGAGCCTTGCTGCCTGATTTTAAAGCCAGAGAAGCACACGGATGACACAACTGGTATTCAGGCTCTGTTAGGAACATACTTTCTGACACTAGGTATGTCTTACATCAAACAGGGCAAGTCTGATCCTTTAAAGTTATAACAGTGGTCAGCAGTTACTTATGTTCTGTTTCCCTGTTTACACAGGATAAGCAGCCAAAGCCAAAAGGAATCTGTTTGACAGAGGTTGCACAGTGGGCAAATGGGATTTGAAACCAAGCCATCTGATTCGAGAGCTTACACCGGAATTTTTTTTTTTTTGGTACTGGGGATCGAACTCAGGACCTTGTGCTTTTGAGGCAGGCACCAGAACCACTGAGCTACATCCCCAGCCCATACACCAGAATTTTATGACCTGTAGTCTCCTCTTTTCAGTGTTATAAGATAGGTCTGCTCATTAGTTTCAAGAGGCTGTCACCAGATTCATCTTGCACGTGAAAGCACACTATGTGCTTGGGGAGTTTGGTGGAAGCAAGGTTCTCAGGCCACACCATGTTAGAGACCACTTCTGTGGTGACAGTCTTTAGTCATTTTGTAGAAAGGCAGACTAACTGAATTTTTGTTTTCAATTTTAGGAGATCACCAAGCTGTAAAATCAAGAGAAACTAAATGTCATTTCCAATTAGATCCTCTTCAGAGCCCGTCTTCTTCCTTTGAATCCAAATTGTTAGGAGAAAGGCCTGACCCAGCCCTCAACCGCCCGAGTCCAAAGAGACAAAACACACGGGCACTGCCTGCAGTGACCAGCGAGTCTGCCCAAAAAGAAAGGATCCCAAGTCACAGTGTTCTGGGTTTCCCTGGCTCTGAGGAAGCCCCTTCCCGGCAAAGCACTCAGCACCCTTGCTCTGCCTTTGGGGAAAGCTTCTGGGAGAAGAACCACTTAGTAAGGCATCAGAGGAGCCATTCCAAGGACCTGTCACCTAGGGATAGGGCCTGGAGGAGGGCCCAGGGGCGCTTCTTCTGCCCAGAGTGTAGGCAGAGCTTCCGCCTGCAGCGGTGTTTGTGGAGACATCTGGCCGCCCACGGGAGGAAGAGCCCATTCCAGTGCCCCCAATGCAAACTGTGCTTCCATCAGGAGCAGACCCCGCTCAGCCACAGCCTTGGGCACAAGAGGGAGAAGCCTTCCCATTGCCGGAAGTGTGGTGAGGGCTTTACCACACAGTGCGCGATCAAGGAGCGGCCTTTCCCGTGCGCCCAGTGCAGCAGGAGCTTCCGCCAGCAGGGACAGCAGCTGCACACGGTCGAGAAGCCCTTCCAGTGTCCGCAGTGCACGCTGAGTTTCTGCTTGCCGAGCGCGCTGAGCACCCATGCGCGGCAGCATTGCCGGGAGTGGCCCTTTTCCTGTGGCGAGTGTGGCCGGGGCTTTGCGCACCCCTGCAAGCTCCGCGAGCACCTGCGGGTGCACAGCGGGGAGCGGCCCTTCGCATGCCCGGAGTGCGGCAAGTGCTTCCGCCTCAAGGGCATCCTGAAGGCGCACCAGCGAATACACAGTGCCGAGCGCCCCTTCTCGTGCCCACAGTGTGCTAAGGGCTTTGCGCGCCAGTCCAAGCTCACCGAGCACCTGCGTGTGCACAGCGGTGAACGCCCTTTCCGCTGTCCGGAGTGTGACCGTGGCTTCCGTCTGAAGGGGCAGCTGGTCAGCCACCAGCGCCTGCACACGGGCGAGAGGCCTTTCCGGTGCCCGGAATGCGACAAGTGCTACCGTGTGAAGGCCGACATGAAGGCGCATCAGCTGCTGCACCGCGGGAAGATGCCCTTCTCCTGCGCCTGTGGCAAGGGCTTTGCCAAGCAGTCCAAGCTCACCGAGCATGTCCGCACACACACCGGGGAGAAGCCCTTCCAGTGTCCCACCTGTGACAAGCGCTTCCGCTTGAAGGCGCAACTGCTCAGCCACCAAGGCCTGCACACTGGAGAGAGACCCTTCCGCTGCCCTGAGTGTGACAAGAACTTTCGAGAGAGGGGACACATGCGGAGGCACCAGCGCATCCACAGACCTGAGAGGCCCTTTGCGTGTGACGACTGCGGGAAGGGCTTCATCTATAAATCTAAGCTGGCTGAGCACATCAGGGTGCATGCAAAGGCCTGTCCGGCTCCCAGTGAGTCTGACATTAAGAAGAGGCTTAGCCAGCTGTTTGCCATGATTGAGGCTGACTGGAGCTGAGGCCGGCAGGACACCAGAGCCAGGAATGGAACTGATGTCCCCTGAATCCACAGTTTCGAGGCCAGGGCCAAACCCATCATAGACAGTTGAGGAGCAGAGGTGTTTCCTTGGCAAGGGTGTAATATAAATTAGGAATGCAAGAAATTATTAGGGCAACTCTATTGCCTATCCTTTGATTTTAAAAAAAACTAGATTTGTAACAAAAACAAACAAACAAAAAACCCAGATTTGTTCCTCCCATCTTGGATAGTTTTGACCCAAATGCTAAGCTAGCTCAAAAATGCCAGCTTGAATTAAGACCAAAGGAAACTCCTCCAATGCTATTCTCAAAGCTGAAAGGATAGGGCTGGCTATTAAATGTCATTTTGGCTTAGCTTCTTTTCAGTGGATGATTCTAAACTGTGGATTAAATGCAGTGAATTTTGTTTCCAGTCTGAAATGTTCATGTGTCTGGTTTGAGGTCATTTACCTTGAAATGCAGATGAATTCTCTGAGTCTCTGTTTATGCAAATGCTGAAGTTTCTCAGCAGGCTCTATAGTGCCTTTCCATAGGTCTCCCTGAGGAAATGTTTATGATTTTAGCAATATTTGGCTAATCTGGCTTGAAGAAACAAAAAAACTGAATGTGCTGAGAGGTACAGAACCTGAAGGAAGATGTCAGGTTTCATCAAAAGGTAGAGATTTGGCATTTCCAGAACAAAGATGGTACTTGCTGCAGAGAGTGTGAATGAGACTCCCAAGAGTAAATAAACTCCTGACTAAAGGCTGATTTAAGACAAAATAACAAAGCTAAACAGCTTAACTGGGAAGCATTATGGGCAATGGCAATTTAAAGTAGGGAGTTTCTAGGCAGATGTTAATATAAGTAAGCCCAGTGCCTTACTTTCTCATTGCTGGAAAACAATACACCCACATTTAAAGGAAGAAAGGTTTATTTTTAGCTCAGTTTGTGGAGGTTTCAGTCCATAGTTGGCTGGCTCCACGGCAGGGTGGCGTGGCGGAGAGGGATCACAGATGAGAAACAGTCCATGGCAGGGGAGGCAGAAAGCAGCCAGTCTTTTTCCCTTTTTATTCTATTCAGGGCTGCAAGCCTGTTGGTTGGTGCCATCCACACCCAGGGTGAGTCTTCCCTCTTTAGTAAGCCCATCACCCACACCCAGAACTGTGCTAAACCAATCAGTGGACTAATTCAGTATCATACACCAGTGATCCAATGTCTGATCACCAAGAGGGCTGGAATTCTCAGGGGATGACAGAAAATGAGATTATCTGTAGACTGTAATAGACATTAGTCTAAAACAACATTTAACAAATCATTTTCTTTGGAACACTAACTTCAGAGATATTCTGCAGGAAAAGAATTACATGGCCAATCACACAAAGATTCTAATATTGCCTATTGTGCATTCTTAATATAAAGTTAGGCAAAGATTATCAAACATTTGAAGAAAGCTTGTTTTTGTTTTTTTGGTACTAGGGATCGAATTCAGGTTCTTGTACTTGTGAGGCAGGCGGTGGCACCACTGAGCTGAATCCTCAACCCTGCTTTTGCTGTTTTTTGAGACAGAGTCTCCCTATGTGGTTCAGGCTGGCCTTGAACTTGAACTTCTGCCTCAGCCTCCTGTTCTGGGATCATAGGCATGTGCCACCATGCCCAGCAAAACTTCTTTTTTCATTTTGATTGAACCCAGGGCCTTTTTACCCAACTTCATCCTTAGCTCTTTTTCATTTTTTATTTTGACACAAGATCTCACTAAATTGCCCAGGCTGGGCTCAAACTTATCTTAGTAGTATTACTGAGTAGCTGGGATTACAGGCATGTACCACTGCTGCCCCTAGCTTGAAGAAAGACTTACATGAAAAAGCAAGATGGGAGAGAGTATATACTTAATCGCATTGTTCCAGAATCGCACAAAGAACTGCACAGATACACAGAATTCTCACAGAGAAGGGCTTGATACTGAGTAACCCAATTATTTGAGAACCAATGATGTTCCCTTGTGTTTAGCAGTTCTAGGACCATGTGTGGAACCTGCACAGTCAGTTCCTGACCTAAAGTCAGCTTGTCTGTTTCTTGAATCAACAGAACCAAACCTGCTAAGGCCCAAAGACAAGGAGGCCGTCCTTTGGTTACTGGATCTAAATTCTTAGGCAAACATGCAACGATTGATTCCATGGGCCTACTTCTTGGGTCAACACTCCAAGGGCCACATGGTTTTTCTCAGTCACATATAGAGTAAAAGGCCACTTTACGTCTGGTATGCCTAGGGCTGGGGCGGCTGCCAAAGTCAATTTTAATTTTTTAAAAGCTTTCTCCTGTTCTAAAGTCCAATGCAGATGATTCTCTTCCTGTTCCTTTAGGGCTTCATAAAGGAGTTCAGACATTTCTGTAAAACCCAGAATCCAAATTCTACAGAAGCCTGCCACCCCAAGAAACTCTCTCAGCTGTTTCTTTTGTTTGGGGTTTAGGGATGGCACTAGTAACCTTTCATTTCCTAGGCAATGCATGCCCTGTGTTATTTGAAATCCTAAATATTTAACACGCTGTACACAAATCTGGGCTTTTTCCATGATACCTTCTATCTAGTTTTCTTGTAAGTGCAGCAACAACTTTTTGGTGCCTTCCCAGCACCGTTCTTGGGTTGAGCTGCATAACAGTAAGTCAGCCACATACTGCAGTAGGACACAGCTATATTGTTCCACAGGGAAGGCAAGCAAGTCCTTGGCTAAGGCTTCCCCAAAAAACATGGATGAGTTTTAAATCCCTGTGGCAATCTGGTCCAAGTAAACTGAGTCTTTTTTCCATCACTTGGGTCCTCCCATTCAAATGCAAAGATGGGTTGACTAAGGGGAGTGATGCTAAGGCAAAAGAAGGCATTTTTTAAGTCCAAATAAACCATGCTGCCTCTGGAGGTATTAGACCCAGCAAAGTATAAGGGTTAGGGACCACTGGGTGCAGTGTTACTGTTCTGTCATTTACAGCCCGTAGATCTTGTACTGGCCTATAGTCCCCATCAGGTTTTTGAACCTGCAGCAAAGGGGTATTCCAAGGTGACTTACATTTTCTAATAAGTCCAAATTCCTTTAATCTCATGATAGGGGGCTTGGTTCCAATTTGGGCTTGCCTAGACATCAGATACTGTTTTACAGCCATGGGGGCCAAATTGTCATTTAATTCTATAACTATGAGTGGATGATTCTTAGCTAAGCCTGGGGGTGATTCCTCTCCCCATACTCCAGGAAACATAGTTTTTAATTCTTGTGGAGCCTGGCAAACATCATCCACATTGTAACGTTGCCATTCATCCACCCTTTTAGCAGTTACCATCATGATGAGATCTCTTCCTGGGTCTAAATGCAGAGACGCATTTCCTCGTTGGGTGAAAGTTACTGTAGCTCCCAATTCGGATAATAAATCTCTTCCTAGTAAGGGGATAGGACATTCTGGCATATACGAGAATTCATGTTTCACTTTATGCCCTCCAATTTCACATGTCCTTTTGTAGCAGAACTGGTGCTTTTCTGAAACTCCAGTGACACCAATCACTTGGATGCGCTTTCCGCTCAGAGGGGCAACTGGAGCTGTTACTACTGAATGTTCTGCACCCCTGTCCACCATAAAGGACATATTTTGGCCTCTATCTTTACATCGCCATGGGCTCTTGGGCGCCTAGGTGCATTGAGCCCAGTCTGTGTCCGTCACTGTCTTTCATCACAGGCAACAATCTGCCAGTGTCCTTCCTTTCCTTCAAGTCCTGTTTTTTCTTTTCCTTGAGCCTTGGCCACTTATTCCTATAATGTCCTTTCTCTTTATGCACACTGGTCAAACTTTCAGTCTTCATGCCTAAAGCCTTTCTTCTGCTTTCCCTCTGGTTTCATTCCCTGTCTTTTTATCCTCTCTCTTCCTTGGCTCCCATGGCCGTTGCTCTCCTCTCATCTCACTCATCTTACTCCCTTGATCATGCTCTCTCTCTCTCACTGACTCTCTGTTCACATACACTTTCCTAGCTAATTGCAACAGTTGTGTTATATTCATGCCTTCCCAAGTCTCTTGCTTCTGAATCTTCCTTCTAATGTCTGGAGCTGACTGAGTTACAAAGGTCATATTGATTAACTGATGGTTATTGGGAACAGCAGGGTCAAATGGTGTGTACATTCTGTAGACCTCGAAAAGCCACTCATAAAATTTCTCAGGGCTCTCATCAGACTCCTGCTGAGTCTCTGACACTTTAATTACACTTGTAGGTCTTTTACTCGAAGCTCGTATCCCTGCCAGAAGGGCCATCCAATAATTTCTTAAGCTCTCCTGGCCTGCTGGGGTATTGGGATCCCAATTGGGCCGCATATTTACTGGAAACTGCTGTTCATGCCAAGCATCTGGATTTTGGGTGTCTCCTGGCATTCTAGGGGCATTAATCTTTTAAATTTCTCCTAAAACTCTCTGCATTTTTTTAGGGGTTAACAAACTTCTACGAAGTTTTTTACAGTCCTCCCAATTAGGACAATGGGTAGCAAAGAGGGAATCAAATAATTAAAGCATTTTGGAGGGGTCTTGGCAGAGAATAAATGACTTTTTCTCTGGACTTAGCCTCCTTTGTCCTTTTTAAAGTCAAATCTCAGATATCATACATATTTGTCTGACATATTTGTGCCTTTTCCCAACAGTTTTTTTAACTCACTATAAAGGAGGACGTCATATTGTATAAACTGTTGGCTCTTAAACTCTTTGAAGATGACCGATGTACACATATTAGTAACATACTTACAATTTAACCCTTTGATGGCAACCAATATAAACATATTTAAACTTTTCATAGCAAACTTGAAACCAACAAACAAACATACATATTTTTTGATAAATCACTTTTGCACATCTTTTGACATACCTAAACCTTCTGGTCTTGTATATCTCTTTTATCTTTCTAATAAGACCATACAAAATTTCTTACATCAAAATTGCATCGCTTTTACTTATAGCTTTTTTTTGTTTTGGGTACCAGGGATCGAACTCAGGTCCTTGTGCTTGCACAGCAGGCAGTGAAACCACTGAGCTAAATCCCCGGCCCTATAGCTTTTTAATATTTTTTTATCTCACTTACTAAGACCTTTTATCACAAACTTGTCTTTAGTTGTTAAAATTTTTAAAGTGTTCCTTTTTTTGCTCTCAGATTGTTACACTTTAAATTTGATTGGCTGCAAATAGAACAGTAGTGACCTTGAGTTTTTTATCAACAAAGTACAGAAAAGACCAAGTTAACCCTATAATTACAATTGAAGAATTTGCAATGTACAAGAAATATTTTAAACACACCAGTTAAACATCAATTCAAACTTAAACACACATACATTTATCAATTAGCTAAAATTTGTAACTTGATTTCTCTTGTAAGATTTCTCACTTTCTCTGGCTTTATTTTTATGCCCTTCAGAGCTTTCTTA